CTTATCATGATATCTGGCGCGGCGGCCAATATGTCTGGGTCGTCGAGGAGATGCATCGACAGTATGGGCCGGTTGTCAGAACCATGCCTGACGTAGTGCACGTCAACGATCCCAGCTTCGTCGATAAGCTATATCCAGCTCAGTCTCCCAAAGCCCGGCGCGAGAGGGCAGAGACGGTCCTTGGGTTCTTCGGACAGACCTTCTCGGTCTTGCCGACTCGCGATCACGACTTGCATCGCCGCCGCCGCGCGGTCTTGAGCCGCTTCTTCTCCAAAGAAAACGTACGAAGGCTGGCGCCGATCATCAATGAAACCCTAGGCGATCTACTGCGGCGGATGGAAGGGTGGTCTAGGACCGACGAACCAATTGACTTCAACCCAGCAAGCCGAGCTGCAACAAAAGATGTCATTCAGTCGTATGCTTTAGGCGAGGGCGAAAAGTGCTTGCTCATGGAGGATTGCAACGCTGCATTCTTCGAGGTGTTGACGCCAGGAAGGATGACACACTTCAGTGTGCATTTCCACACCATCGCCATGGCTTTCCAGAGTCTGCCTCCAAAGATTCTCGTGATCTTGGCCCCGTATATCCAGGCATTCGTTGCCTTTGTCGAGGTAGGTGTCACAGCTCTTTTTGCGAACAAATCGTGGCCTGATAGGATACTAATGCGGCGAAGGATCTTACCGTCAAAATTGAAACCATCCGCGGCTCAAAAGATGATTATGAGGGGAAGACAATATTCCATGAGATTATGGAGAGCGACATCCCCGAGTCAGAGAAGTCCACCCCGCGACTGGTAGACGAAGCCATGGTGCTGGCGATCGCAGGGTCCGACACCACAGCCATGACTCTATCGGCCCTCGTTTTCCATATCTTGAGTGACGAGTCCATATTTTTGCGAATCAGAAAAGAGCTGGAATCCGTCATGCCGGATGCGAATCAGCCTCCGGATCCAGTCAAGCTCGACAGCCTTTCTTACCTGAACGCAACAATCGAGGAGGCTCTACGCATGTATCCCAGTGCTACGCATCGCCAGGACCGCGTGGCTCCCGATGAAGACTTGATGTTTGAGTATGCCGATGGACGAACTCTAGTGCTCCCAGCTGGCACAATGGTGGGAATGACGGCACCCCTTCTGAATAAACATCCCGCCTGGTTTACCGAGCCCTACGTTTTCAACCCAGATCGATACATTGAAGACCCCAAACTTTTCAAGAAGCACCTCACATTTGGCAAGGGCGGACGTCAGTGCCTGGGTATGAATCTTGCGTATCAAGAGTTGCAGACATTTACGGCAGGAATCTTCCGCAAGTATGGGATATATGACCCCAAGGTTATGTTGCAAGATGGTCCGACGTTGGAACTATTCCAGACTGGAATCGAGGACATCCGCATGCATGCAGACTATGTCACGCCGGGGCTCCGACCTGGAAGCAAGGGAGTACGGCTTAGAATACGTCATGGCTAGGAGCTCATTGTCGATAATTCACTCGCCTATTCGCCTCATAGAAGTAGTAGTGTTATCATGCAAACTACTTTTCCGGGTACGGCCACGATGTCATATAACCCTTGAGCGAAAAGCATGCCGGTTTCCTGGTCCTCTGTTGTAAAGAAGGATGTTCGCTCTGCAAGACGCAATGCTGTTGGGCTGAGTTCAACTCGTAGAATGGCCCTACACGTGACGACATTTCGAGCTAGGTCTTGTCGTATTGCTTGATACAGTAAACGAAATTGAGTCAGATTTAGATACCCGTTCTGAGTCCACCCGTGCCTGCGGGGGTAAAGAAACCTGAATCATTCAATGCGTTTCCAGTCCTAAAATGATCGACTGGCGCCGAGCCCGCGGGAAGTCCGGTACGGCTTGAAGCGCAGGCACCGTCGGCGGATGCCCTAGGGTTGCAGGAGCTATAAGAGCTAGTTGGATGCAGCACCTAAAGCAACAAGGCTTAGGGTTATCCGCTGTCTCGGGATGCGATGTCTCGGGGCTGCATTCGAATCAACTAATGGTAGCTAACTAGGGCTAGAGGCGTCTGATGAGATGGACGTCTTTTAACCTGGTTCAGAATCGATGCATAGAATATTTTGCCATCGCTTGTGGCGTCCATAGACATCCGTGATATAAGTCATCCGTGTAACCCTGAAGACGCAAGCTCAGCCCGATCCTTCTCGATAACGTGGAGGTCCAGACCATTCCACCGGTCGCACTTGCATATCAGACGTCAGGTCAGCCGATATGCGACCCTCCGCATGTGGCAATGTCAACGAAGTCTGAAAATGTCGTTGATCAGCAGGGGCATTGGACAAGCCTAGGCCTTCTAGCGACTTACGACCCTGCTTATCAGAGACTTAGGCAACAATGTCTTAGTCTATGGCCTTTGAAGTGTCACCGCATGGTTTCTGTTGGCTGCACTCCGTGCCTAAAAATTTGCAGAGAGTCATAGTTTCCCTCCTCTAATGGCCCCCAACAAATCCGATTTGTTTTAATATCAAGGCTCAGCTCGCATGTTTTGGCGAGCGAAACGGCGAGAACATAGGCATCGAATATTCAGAGACCTTGTTCTGGGTGCGATTCTCTCCCACAGTTTCGTGGAGTCACCGAAAGTGATCACAATCGTAAGACGACCGGACAAAATCCTCCGCAGCATCATTTTGTATCTTTCCCAGTATGCGCGCGCATACACTCTCCTCGTCCAGCTTATGATTCATCTCGAGATCAATGAGCACTGACCTTGAAAGCCATCAATATGAGATCTTACAAGTTTGGGTTGCCCAATCAGAAGAACAGCACACACACCGCCAGACGCAACAGCCAATGTCTCAGCGTCTCGACTTACAATAGGCGGATGCAGATATTTGACAATAACCCTCAGCCAGGATGTGCTCCGCAGCCGCCCTACTGCAGGCTTATCTCCCGAGTGATTGGTCTTCTTAGGAATGCCATGCATCGGTGACGTTGAGCAGCAGAGGTAGCGCATCCACACCGTACCGTCGCCGTGGGCTGGAACTCGGGGGCCCCGATATCTCCATGCACCTTAAATTCCGACATATGATGCTTTCCTAGCGTCACAGCCGGTATTCACTCCGGTAGGTCCGGAGCAGCAAACCTCGTGCAGGAAGTGGACACAGTCTTTCGGAAGAACCCTCGGAGATTTTGTGTCTCGTGCTATGGTGAAAATTTGGTACTGCACTGGAATCTGGACCTAATGTAAGGTCGATGATAGGACTCGGTAACGGCCGAGCCTAGGAAATTTGTGATATCAGACCACTACGCATCTCACTGCGAAATCTTACAGGCTCCAGCACACAGAGTCACACTTCCAGATATCATTCAAGCTCCATGCGGCAGAATGTTTTCGCTGAAGCCTTGCCCCGTTCCATGACGGTCGAGTACATCGATGCCGGTGGTTGAGCTCAGAGTTTGCCACCCTAAATGCAAGCCACCCGAAACATTTGCAAGTAGTGATGCCTCAGAATCCTGCGGAATTTCCGAGTCGTTACCGTTGATTCGGAAAGCTGCTGGCGTTTTACGACTGCACAGCTCGGAACTACAGAAAACTCGCTGCCTGGCTCTGGAAATCTGCATCCGCTGCAGACAAATAAACTGACTCGAGTGTGATGATGTCTCGGGTCCTGCTTGTCTCGGGCTCCACTATTCAGCTTGGTAGGTAGTGCAGGGCGACCATGATCTCAAGATGTTTCTCTCCAAAGTCTCGGGCTAAGTATATTCGACAGATTGCGGACTGGTGGGTGCCGCATGGAAGCGGTGTCATCGACCATGATGGCTACGGCACACTGCCGGCAGGATCAAATAGCAAGGAGCAACTAGAGGAATGATGATATGAGCTGAAAGCCTTCAAAGGACGAGACATCCTATACCGTGCCACTGACGTTCCTGAGAGCTCGTTACCTGCCTCATCATGAAGACCTATATATCATTACTCATGAGCAGAAAGCATGCTTCGGCTCATACTTGCTGTGACATAGCACACCCCTTCACTCTCAACGTGAGCGACTTTGTGCCTGGAGCTACTTTTCTTCCTGCAAAAAACGAAAACTCGGAAATGGATCGTTATCCTTGCGTCAACAGATACAAACCTGGTGTTGACTGTCCAGCCTGGGTCTACGTATACGGCGCAAGATGCGAAGACTGTGTGATTGTGAGTTCGATCAGGGCCGGCAAAACTACAGAAAACTGACTCCGGTCTGTAGTATGATCGATGACATTGCGAGTTATCATTCATAATGGGCTCGAATGTTGGACTCTTGTGGGAAGCGCATGTGGACGGAATGAAAGAAGTGAAGTTCCTGGCTAGGAATGATGATTATGCTATGCAGTCGAATTCGTTTAGAAGACGACTGGATATGCGCCAGGGTTGGTATTTGGGGACAGAGACGCGCCTGCATGACGGGATGATACATTGCAGCCAAGTTGCAAACTTGATCTCAGTTATGACTTAGGATGGGTCATGAACTCCGATCGAAGATCTATGTGACTTTCTACAGGATATAGACCAAAAGAACTGACCATAACCAGACGCACCATCTTCATTCTCCATTGATTGGGCTTTCAATCAAGTCCTGGAACGCAATTATCCAATAAAGAGCGTACATCAGCGATCCTGAGTGGTGCATGAAATGTTGCCAAATATTGGATTTACCAATACCTGATATCGAAATGACTACTAAAAGTTGCAGATCAGGAATACAAAAGCCATTCAGCATTCCGGCTTTCAGAGCATCAAAGACCAAGCGACTAGAAGAGGACGTCAAAAGATATAAGAGGCGGAATAGGGAGGCACACATGAGTCCATGACGTGAAGCTTGGAAACTTGTGATGAGTAAGGCAATCTTCAAGTAACCTGCAGGAGGCCCTACCACCATAACGCTAAAGGAACATTTCGACTGAGACTCGCCAAAAACGTCCTGAACTAAGACTCGTTCTCTAGGTGACCAGTGTCTCGGATTCCGCATACCATTCTCAACTTCTGGTGTAGCTCCAGCTCTCATGAGACCGTTCCTTCTGGGTTGTCCACAATGATACCAACGCCTTGTTTGAATCTAAGCAACCACTCAGCATTATCTGCAGGCGTTTGGTTCCAAGGGTCGTCTCTGTATAATAGGATAGTTGTTAGCCCAGAGTTCCCAATACAGAGCATGGTTGGCATTGCTTGAGGCAAGCGCAGCAGATGATTTCCACAGGCAAAACTGACTCGTTAAACCACATCCACCTCGCCTGATACCGAAGCTCATCGTCAGTAGGCACGTGTCTATTCGGATTGTTGGGTGACATGGTTGCCCCGACAAACCGAGAGAGGCCGGCGGCGAGGCGTGTATAGCTGTTGTGGTCGTTGAGAAGGAATGGCACGTGAATATCTTGACGTATCTCGGTATTACCGCTTGTGTTCACAATCGTGAAGGCTGGCCATCGGTCCATATTGATGTCCTTTGCGTCCACATTGGAAGAGGGGATGCTGGTCGGCGTGGATGTTGAAGTTCCAGTAGTTGCTTGCGATATATCCTGCTTTGTGAGCGACGGACCTGCTGCCTCCGCCGCCATCGCGGCCGCTCCCTCGTGAATATAGGTGCCAACTGTTTCCTCCGGAAACGAAGTAACGTACGCAGTTGCATCGAGGCTTGTATTGATAGCATCGGTCTCAACACTGTTGCTGGAAAGCTGTCTGACCCTTTCGCGGAACGGTTCAATCCACAGCTTCGACCCTCGCACAACTCGAAACATGAATTCAGCGCAGTATTTCGACGGTTTGGGGGAACAAGCCTCGGCGCGTTGGAGGATGCTTGCGGCTTCCTCCTGAAGCTGGTCGTCAGACATGACAGCCGGTTGGTTGTTATGCGTCAAGATGATACGGCGTAACTCCAACTCCAGGCGGCATTGATCGAATATGCTCCATTTCCCAGTAATCTTTAGCTGGGTTAGGCGTGACTTGGCAATCTGCTGGAGTGGCATCAGGCGAGCTTCTTTTGCCGTTTCAGAGCACAGAAAGACGTCTCGCAACCAGGATGGTGTCGATGAGGCAGGTTGAGTAGATATCACATCTGCGCCGAGTATTATCGAGCAGGCTTCATGATGGAGTTGCTGGTCTGAAGGCAGACAGCCGTCTTTAGCGAGACACCCTTGGATGGAGTACTCCAGTTCTAACTTGAGAAGTTCGTACGCGCTGGTGGGTGTGTCTGACGACCCTCGTACGGATGAGATCGGCCATACAGTGCTTCGCTCATAGTGTATCAGATCTGAGGCGGGAGGTCAACATGTTGGAAAGGGGTTACGCAAGCAATTGAACGGCAGCTAACTCACAAGGAGGCATGTCGTTCTCCACGGTATCAGCAACCTCGGGGTCGAAACCCCAGTCTCCTTTCCAGTCTGCCATGGTCTTCCCCGCCTTGAAGTGATCGGCCAGGTGGTCGCTTCGGCTGGCCCAAGATTCCAGGGTGGTGTTGCAAAACCCACATCGTGACCGTATCTCTCGACCGACAGCCTTCCATTGCTCCATTGGCCAGGGTGAAAAGGTTGTTTCGTGGACGAGTTTAAGATGTTGGCTAAGGTGATCTTTGCGGCGAAAGGTGCGGAACAAAGGCTCTCTTTCATGACACAGGGAGTGATGATGTGTTTCTAGGTGCTGCTCATCGGGCTCTGGGGCACCACAGTAGACGCAAGCTTGCACCCCCAGGTCGGGATTCAGCTCAGTAGGACCCAACGGCGAGCAGACCCATTGATCGAGACAGATATGCACCGTTTTCTCATGACGATGCCAATCGTACTTCGTTTTGAAAGATTCGATGCAGAATGTACACTGATACCTGTGGTAGGTCTGAAGCAAGTCGTTACTGTGCAAGGGTTGTCGCCTAGACAGCTTCTTCCGTCTTCTTCGAACATTATTCCGGAGGTTGGGAGGGTCGAGGAAGCTGCGCGACTGGGATGAGGAACCAGACCCGTAGCTAGAGCGAGAGGCCCCCGCGCTGCTGACCGAGGATGCGTCGCTGGATGAGATTTCAGAGACGCCAAGATAGTACGGAGTAGGTGGGCGTGTGGGAATTGCTGCAGCCATTCGCGAAATGTCGGCTACGTTGGCGGCTTCGTACTCTGGCGGAGAGCTTTGCCATCTTTCAAGTGGATTCATAAGCTCGAAAGGGACCGGATTGGCTCGAGGATGAGGGAAGTCGATGGCCGAAGCTGGTGACGAGATGTCCTCGGACCATTTCCATGCGCGCGATGCTGACGAACCCGATTGGGCTTTGAACTTGTATCGCCGCCGAGCATTCGAAAGCCAGTTTGTCAGTTGCAATTTAGTCAGTCCTGTCCCGCTTTGGAGCATTTCAATGTCCTCAGGAGTGGCGTATGGATATGAGTTATGGTCTGCCAACCATTGCCGCAGTATCCGGATTGATTCTAGAGAGAAGCGATTGGAAATCCTCGTGGACTTGGTCGTAACATCCAACGGTTGGTGGTCAGACTCAGCGTCTATGGGCCTGCCGGACGTCTCTGAGGAAAGAGTATTTGTGACACCTGTACGACGGCCTGCATGAGGATTGGGCTGTTGTTGAGGTGAGGTTTTATCCCCTGATACATCATGCGCCGTCTCTCCTTGCAGAATGAAGGCTTCATAGGGACTAGCCGCAGTTATATCTTCAAAGTAGTTGAGGTTGAAAAATTCATCCAGATCGAAGTCGGCGTCCATCATTGCTGCACATCTGTGATGATGCAATTGCAAACAGAAAGGGTTTTAGACATGTGAAAACCAAAGTGACCTAGCACAAGCTTCAGTGAGGAAAATTAATAGCAACAATTTACAAACTTACGGTAGGCAGTCTATTAGGTGGGATTCTTCAGACATGAGCAGCGTAGCCAAACCTGCCAAATCTGCCGTCATGGTCCTTGACTGTTTCCAATAGAAGTGGGGCTCGACTCAAGACTCGTTGACACGAAGGGCGTAAGGCGTGACAGAGAAAGTATCCCACCGGCTCGGTTCTGGCCTGTGGCCCCACTCCCCATCAGCCAAGTCCAGGATGGTGGGGTTAGAGACATTGCGATTCACTATATTGTACAAGTGTTACATGCTGTATTGCTCAGCAATTTTGTTTCCACGTTCGATTAATCACACTCCTGTTGCTCGTGCTGGCTCTAATTGAGGCCCGAACCCCACTTAGCTGTCAGTGCGCAATTTCAACTTTAGATACCCTGAAAGCTTTGTCATACTCGTTTGCCCGCTGCCTCGCCCTCCCAGATTCGGACGGTTGGATATTTGTAAGAATACTTCCGCCCCATGCACGTCTGATGAAGGCAGACACTGTCACGGAAAGATTCCCGGCTTCCATGATGTTTTTGGGCACGAGAAGAGAAAAGACAGAGGTATGGGGCGGAGCGTGGACCGCATTGACCGTGAATGGCACATCCACATCCATGGATGTCGTAATACCATCCGAAAGGCACGCAGATGGCATAGTGAGCAGGTTCTGTCTTCGTGTCACATACTTAAAAGGATCCTTCTACAAATAACATCATACGTCTTTGAACCGCATCATTCGAGATCTGTAAAACTCCATTCACCTCAATCCTTTCAGACCTCTCTGTATCTTCATCTTCTTACCATGTCTATCAGTCGAGTCGCTATCGCTGGTGTAAGTTGAAACTCGACTTATTCAGGACTCGAATCTCTCTTAGCATAAAAAAATCACTAATATTCCAACTCAGGCCACTGGCAATCTTGGACCAGCTATCTTGACCGCACTTCGCTCTTCCAAGCGATTCAATGTCACTGTTTTGACGAGAACCGGGTCGTCACACCAATTCCCTGCCGATGTCACAGTCAAGTACGTCGACTACGACAACCCTGCTATGTTGGCTGAAGCTGTTCGTGGACAAGATGCTGTTGTTTCGACGCTTTCTGTCTTCGGCTCAGATGTGCAGAAGGCATTGGTTGATGCGTCTGTTGCCGCCGGTGTCAAGCGATTCTTGCCGTCGGAGTTTGGTAGCAGCACTGAAAACCCCAAGGTCCAGACGATCCCGATCTTTGGCGCTAAGCTACAGCTTCAGGAATATCTGAGAGCGAAGGCCCAATCCAGCCCGGCATTCACATACAGTCTTCTCTTCTGTGGTCCCTTCTTGGACTGGGGCTTGTCGACGGGCATGCTGGTTGACATCAAGAACAAAAGCGCCGTGTTGCGAGACGGCGGCAATGTACTTTTCAGTGCTTCTCGACTATCTACGGTTGGGCAGGCCGTGGTTGGGGTTTTGTCTCATCCTTCCGAGACTGCCAACAGGGCCGTGTACGTCAAGGACATTGATGTCACGCAACACCAGATCATTTCAGCGGCCAAGGAGATTGATCCTTCGGGCAGTTGGACCATTCAAGAGTCTCAAACCGCAATCGAGGAGCAGGAGGCTCTTTCTGGTCTGAAATCTGGACAGGTAGACATTGGTGTGATCTCCAAGTTCTTGTTTAGGGCTATATTTGGCGAGGGCTACGGCGGAAAATTTGACAAGGTGGATAACGAACTACTCGGTATCGAGGGACTCGATGCCAACGGTCTGCGGGATGTTGTTCAATCTGTTTTGAACGCATAGATTGGCCATCAGTCATAGCTGGCCTAGCCGATAAGATGAAATCACTTTGAACACTAGTTTTGCCGTTTGTGAGGGTTTGTTGCGTGTCTCTAAACGCCTTCGCCTCCCTCGTCACTCACCCTATATTAAATCAAGGATGATCGTGATTAGCTTATGTCCATCGCATGTGGAACCAAGAACCATGGATATTAGACAGGATGAACAACCGTATCAGTGAACTATTCTGCTATCTGCGGATTCCTAACCGCGAGAAGGACAATAGAACTGCAACTCCATAAAGGCAGAAAGCGTTTTATTTTGTCGATGTGCGCCATCGATCGAGAGCCTCCGTCCAGCCAAAGATGCATTCACCAGCCAAAGTCAAGTCGACTATGGCTCATCCGTAATCCCAAGTTTCCTCTACTCTTTCTCAATGGCAAACCGTTTACCTTCAACTCCAAACAGAACAATGCTCAGTGCATGATTTAGTAATACGTCGATGCCATTTGAAAGCTCCAACCATGGTTACAACAATGTCTAGCTTACTAATATTCGTTGCATCCCAGCGATGTAGCTTTCGTCACATTTACTAAAGTAAGTCTCCCATTTAAACATGGGTACCCTGGACCTTAGTTTCCGCAGAGATGTGCGGCCCCAGCGGCACTACCTTGCTGAATCTTATCCGCCAGCTGATAAATCATTTGCGTCTACGAAGAGAACGACTACCTGACAGTTCTGCTGACCAATTCCATACTGATTCAAGTGTTGACGCACCTCAGCTGCCTAGGTGCACGGAAGTAGGTTGATATATAAGACAGAGGTGTTGCATCTATTTCCACGAGATTAGGTAGCTACCAACATCCTCAACAATTTCAGCAACCTCTCGCCATGCCCGAGTTCATTCCTCAAACGCCTGCCCCTGCCAGCGGGATTCAATTCTTCAACTGGCCCGGTGCTGGAGAGGAGATTTCCGAGTCCCTCAAAATGACACACGCTTGCCTCATTCCCCCTGGCGCCTCGATTATCCATGTCGGCGGCCAAGCTGGAATCAGAAGTGACGGCACAGTTCCTGTTGATTTGACTGATGAGATACGTGAAGCGTTTTCTCACATCGAGCTCTCCCTACGCGAAGCTGGCCTCACGGGTTCAAGCGAGGAGGTCTGGGCTTGTGTATACAAGGTAATTTACCTCAAGAGGGCAAGGGTTTGGTCAAGTTAATTCGACTAAAACTGAGATTTGATACAGGTTAGGACGTATCACGCCAATACCGATGCCGGATTTGGCCTCACGCTGCACGGTGTTTTGATGGAGTACTTTGGGAAAAACCGACCGCTCTTCACCGGCGTCGATGTTTTCAAGCTTCTGCGGCCTGAGTTGCATCTTGAAATCGAAGTGGAGGCATTTCTTCCGAGTTCGCAAGCGTAGGGAGGTTCGGTTCTTTGGGTCAAGTCTGATCAATTTGGTGACTTTCGCACAGTACTAGTCGCGGCCACACATAAAGAGCTACTCTACATGGGGGCATAGAATAGCCTACTCAGCACACTCAAAATCTACAAATGTCTATGTTACTGAGATTCACCGTCGTATCGACGTAATGCCTACTGTTTTGCTGAGCTGGGAGTCTTGTGAGCCAGCCAAGAGAAGAGTAAACGTAACTGCGACGGCGAGAAGAATGATGGTACTATCCTAGGGCCGTTTGGCAAAAGTATAAAAGGTTGAAAGCCCAAGCCCAAGCCCAACTTCAGAGCAGCGATAGAGCCGGGGTAGCAATGATCTCTTACTGAAGATCACCCCTATCGCCATCGTCACGTATCTGCCTTTTGTTCTGTGGATATTTTCACTCGGCCTCATTCCCGAACCTTGACCTCTACTCATCCTGTGAAGACATGGCAATCCCATGCCTTTAATCATTGAAAAACACCATGAACTATCTGGATTGCCTCCCTGGTTACGCCAATTGCGCGAATGCCTCAAGTGGGATCCTGTTTGGCGTTGCTCGGCAATCTAGGCTTATCGTGAATAATTGCCTTTTTCGGCCAGTACGCGAAAGCGCACACCTCGCCCATAGCCACGCAAGGGTTTCTCCAAGTGCAAAGGCCAAGAAGGCCCAAGAATATCTTAAGGCCAGAAGAGATATAATATCAAATTGAGATATAAAGTCACCTGGAATCGTACCACTTTTCGAATATCTACCAGAGTGGGAAATCATCCGCGGCCCACCAAACATATTCACGATTTTAGTTACTCAAACGACAATGGATACTGGCAATGACGAGAAGAAGCTGGCGATGACGCCTACACCATCGGTCTACGAAGGTCAAGCCTTGCAGCAACAACAAACTGGAGGCCTTCATCGCCGTGTGGGAGGTCGCCAGATTCAACTATTCACCATCGGAGGCTCCATCGGCACAGCCCTTTTCATTTCGATCGGAACTGCTCTTTTCAAGGCCGGGCCTGGTAGCCTCCTTCTGTCCTTCTTCACCTACTGCTGCGTCATTGCACTGGTTAACAACTGCATTGCCGAAATGACAGTTTTGATGCCCGTTAGTGGTGGCTTCGTCCGTTTGGCATGCAACTGGGTTGACGAAGCTTTGGGCTTTGCGGCCGGCATCAACTTCTTTCTCTACGAAGCCATTTCCATCCCGTTCGAGATCACCGCCCTCAATTCAATCCTCAAGTTCTGGCGCGATGATATCCCCGTCGCGGCAGTTTGTGCGGCATGCATTGTTATCTATGCGTAAGTTGCTGTCAACCGTGGAGCCACGAGCCCCTGAGCAATCGCTGAATTTGTTTTATCTAGTGCCCTTAACCTTAGTGCCGTGAAGTACTACAGCGAGTCCGAGTTCTGGCTATCGAGCGGCAAGGTCATCTTGATTATCATTCTGACATGCTTCACATTCGTCACAATGGTTGGTGGAAATCCACAACACGATGCCTACGGCTTTCGATACTGGAAAGATCCTGGCGCATTTGCAGAGTGGAGGTCCACTGGCAACCTGGGACGTTTCGAAGGCTTTCTCGCCGCATTATTCTTTGCGCCCCTACCGATCGTCGGACCCGAATACATCTCCATGATTGCTGGTGAAGCGATCCGCCCAAGAGTCAACATCAAGAAGGCATTCAAAACCACATACTACCGTCTCGCGTACTTCTTCTTGGGAGGCGCCATCTGTGTGGGAATCGTGGTACCTCACAACGACCCAACATTGAGAGCCATCGTCAACGGCGAAAAGGAAAGTGGCAGCGGAGCTGCTTCCCCGTACGTTATCGCCATGACAAACCTAGGCGTTGGAGTCCTACCTCACCTGGTCAATGCCCTCATCCTCTCGAGCGTCTTTGCGGCCGGTAACACGTACTGGAACGGGGTTTAGTGGGCCCACTAGATTTTCGGCGTTTTCAGCGTTTAGAGGCCAGATTACTAGCCTCCCTCAAGGGGCGAGAAGTTAGCTTAGATATCATTATTATCCTCATACAGATTAGAGGCTTAATTTACTTATTTTTCAGTAGATTTTTAAGCTTTTTATCGCATTCTTTTTAGTTTAGATCTATAAAGAACGCGAGGAGTCTTTTCCTTTTTTTTTTAAAATTATAGGTTTTAAAACCATAAAGTTATAAAGTTATAGTAGCTCTACGTACCTTTAGGTATATAAATACTACTATATTATATAGCTCTTAGTTACTTAGTTTATAACTATTTTAATAATACTTAAAAATAGATTTATTCTCTTTTTAGATACCTATATAAAGCGTTAGAAGAGAGCTTACTTTTATACTAAGTAAATAGATTAATATAATATATATAATAACTATAACTATTATTACTAATTATATAATACTAAGAAATATAATATATTAATAAAAGTTAAGTAGTTATTTATAAACTTAATTCCTAGTAAGTAGAAAAGTATAATAGCTAAGTATAACTTTACTAATAAAAATTAAAAGGATATAAAAAACCTTAAAAAGGATTTTAAAAGTATTATAACTTATATAGTAGGGAGTATTAGATTTTTATTTATTTCTACTCTTACTACTCTTTAATATTATAAGCTATTAAAGCTAGATTAGATTTACTTAATAAGCTTTTTAAACTAATAAGAATATAAAGCTTTATAATATTTAAGTAAGATAGTTTAAAGAACTAATAAGTTTATTATAGAAGAATAAGATAAATTTACTATAAAGCTATTAGTAGTTTATATAACTCCTAAAGGATTAACTAGTAGAAACTTAAAAAAAAGAATATAAAATTAACTATAGAGACCTAAGATAGTATAACTAATTAGGCTTAAAACTAATATAAATAGAGGTATAATACTTACTTACTTAGTTATACTCTTTTCTCTTTTCTCTTTTCCCTTTATTATATTTTTAGAGAAATAATAATAAAACTTAAGATTAAAAAGATTAATACTTTTAACTACTTAAGATAATAACCTATATTTTTACTACTTTAATTATTAATAATTACTATAGCTAAGATATAGCCTAAGATAACTAAAGAAATATTATATAAAAATATCTTAACTCCTTATAACCTTACTACTAAGAGTAAGCTTATTAATATATTTAATATCTAAGCTAAAGTATTTAAGAATATCTAAGATTAAGCTAAAGTAACTTTAGCTTTTAAAAATAGCTTACTTAATAGCTTATCTAGTTTATAAGCCTAAGTAGCTAGTATTAACTTTACTAAGGTTAACTATACTACTAATAATACTTACCTCTATATTAGCGCTAATAGAGGTAAAAGATAAACTTCTAGTATTAATCCTTACTATACCTTAAGTAGTAATACCTATAGAATTTAGTAGTAGCTTATAGCTCCTATTAGTAATACTTATCTTATTTCTATAGGCTAGTTAATAAGGATTATTAAGTAACTAATAGAGTTATACCTTTATTACTCTATATTAATTATAATAAATCTTTTTTAGAATAAAAATACTCCTCTATTTATAAGTAATAATATTATAGATTTTATTAAAACTTATAATTCCTAGTCTTATAAAACTTATTAAACTAATAAAGATAAGCTAATAAAAATATACCTCTATAGTATTAAAAGCTTAAGGTAAAATATTAAATTACTAATTAAAAACCTTAATAATTAGGAAGCTACTAAAGCTACCTTTATCTACTAATATAGTATTATAAATAAAAGCTTCTATTAAGATCCTAATAAAGAGCTTTAAGTAATTAAGGATAAGCCCCCCCTCTCTAAAACTAATACTATTAATATTATAATACTCTTTAATTATATTAAAGGCTTATACTATAAAGCTATTATAAGGGAACTCTTAAAATATTAAGACTAAGATCTTATTCGCTTTATTTATAGGTACCTACTAAAAGGAGCTATTAAGGTTACTATAAAAGCTCTCTCTTATAATATTAAGGACTTACTCTAGAAGCCTTAGCTAAGTATTAAGTATATAGTTATTAAATAAGTAGCTAGAGAGACCTCTTATATATATATTAGTAGAAAGAAGACTATAAAGATAGCTACTCCTCTCCTAATTACTAGTCTTATTAAGCTTAATAACTAGCTTATATAAGTTACTTATATCTAGTAGTAATATAGTAACTTAAAAGTAGTAAACTTTAATAAAGTTACTAACCTCTAAGAGTAAATATACTAAATATCTCTTAATAGTATAGAGACTAAAGAAAAGATAAGAGTACTTATAGCTAATATTTAAAAGCTAAATATAAACCTTAGCTAGTAGTTTAAGTTAGTATAAAATAATTATATTATAGATATAAACTAAATATCTATAGTATAAGGGAATTATAGATAGTAAAAAGAAGCTAGCTAATTTATAAGCTTAACTACTATAAACTAAATATAATATAATATATTTAAGATTAGAGGTTACTACTCCTATAAGATAAATAGATACTATATAGCTAAATATAATATTATAGATAAGTTAAGAAATACTAAAGTAGTATACTTCCTAAAGGGATAGCATATTAGCTCCCTTACTAACTATAATATCATTTAGAATAGTATTATTAATAAAAAATAGAAGAATTTAATACCTAACCTACTAACTATTTAGGCTTATATCCTCTAAAGTAAGGTATACCCCTAACTAGAGGTAGTAGTAAAATAATTCTATAATAAGTATTACTTAGAGTAAATACCTAGCTTAAAATTATCTATTTATTATTAGGAGGCTATAATTACTATAGATAAAGCTTAAAGAGAATAAAAAGAAGCTAAATAATAAGTATTAATAGCTACTATTAACTATATTAACATTAAGTATATATATAGCTATATAGTTAATATTAACTATATAGAAGATAAGAAGCTAGTAGAGGTTAATACTATTATTAAGATAAAGAATAATAACTTCTAATATACCTTATATAGTAACTCTTTAGTAAGGAAGATTTACTTTATAAACTAGATCTTAACTTAATAAGCTACTATACTTATAAGAGCTACTCTAATTAAAGAAGTAGTTAAAGATAAAATAATTATATAAGTCCCTCTATAGCTTTAGCTATAGGAACTTACTTACTATAAGGAGACTAAGAAGCTATACTAAGTAACCTTCTTCTCTAATTTAAAAGAAACTTACTCTTAAGCTATAGCTCTTTATAGTAAAAAGAGGATAAATAATATTACTCTATTAGAATAATTTCTCTTAGATAATTAGCTAGAATATAGATAGCTTAAGTTCTAATATATAGCTATATATATAGAGTAATACTAAGACTAAGCATATAGTAGTAACATAGTTACTACTAACTTAGCTTTAGCTAATACTTATATATAAGTTAAAAGCTAAAAGGGGAGCATTAAAGAACTCATAAAGTAATAGAATAAAGTATATAGAACTAGCTAGTAATAGCCTAAGAATAGCTATCTTAAGTCTATAAAAAGTAGCGCTAATATATTAGTAGAAGAGCTATAACCTATTAAAGAAAACTACTATATTAATATAAATATAGCAGATATATTAATACTATAAAGCTTTAGACTAACTAATATTAAGGTCTTAGCTATAAAAGACTCCTAGTAACTTTAACCTAAGGTTATACCTCACTTAAGTAGAAAGTATATAGTTACTATATATAACTTTATTATACCTTACTTTTAGGTAGCTATTTAAATTAGATACTACTTAGCTAAAGAGTAGTTAGAAATTATTAATATTAGTTTTATAGTAAATATTATATCTAAAGACTATATTAACCTTAATAGACTTCAAAATAAAGTTATACTAACCTTAGTTATAATTAAAAGCTTTATAGATATTACCTTAGACCTATAATTTATAAGTATTATTATAGAGGATATATATATTAGTAGCTATTATATACCTAATATAGGTTTCTTTATTAGCCTATCTAGTAAGACCTTAAAAAGCTTAATCCTTAATAACCTTTTTATCTATTAAACTAAGATAAAGCTTAGCTATATAAATAGATAGATTAATAGTAATTTTTACTATTATACTACTTAATACCTACTAAAATACACCCTTAGTTTCTTTACTAACTAGTCTACAGCCTTTCTTCCCTATATTATCCCTAACCTAAATATATTTAATAAGATTTAAAGCTCCTATTATATTCCTAAAGAAGAGGGAAACTAGAAGCTACTACTATTATACCTAGTATAGCAACTAGCTTATTAGAATTAGGAATAAATAGAACTTTAAATCCTACTATAGAGAAAGATTATAGGACTAGTAGCTAAGAAGATATTTAAATACTTAATATTAAGTAGTTATCCTTAGATATAGTAATATAAGCTAAACTTAAAAATAGAGATAAAATTAAAAGTATCTTTAATTATAAAAGCAAGCTCTTCTAGCAAATTCTCAAAGTATTAATCTAATAAGCTATTACTTCTAAAGTTACTTCTATAACTACTAAACTTACTAAACTTAAGAACTATAGCTTAAATTATACCTATAAGAACTAGAGGATATAAATAAACTATTATAGATTTAAAATAAGTTTAAAAAGGAAAAAAGCCTTATTATAAATAGAGGAAGTATATAAAGCTAGCCTTAACATACTAACTATAACTAAAGAGATCCTAAATATAGTAAGGATACTAAATAGCACTATATTCTTTAATAAACTAGAGAAGTCCTATAGATAGCTTTTAAGTTAATAAAGTAGTAACTTAGTAAATATTTTATTTCCCTAAAATAATATTACTATATAGTTTAGAACTATAGAATATGCTATACTCTACTATAAAGCCCTCCTATATAAAGACTTCACTATAATAAATACTATTAAAGCCTCTTAAACTATCTAGAAAGCTTAATATACTACTTATAACCTTAGCTTTATAGATAGGTCTAAATAAGATAAATACTAGGAAAAGATTTTATATAAA